CCCAGGCCCTGAGCTGGTTGCCCTGTTACGACGTGTCGCGAATGCTAAGCCGGCCTTTTTACGTGCGTGTACAGACGCTAACTTTCTGCGATCTCACGTAGGGCTACATGATGGCAACCGCATTTACTTCTTGCTTGAGGGCATTGAAGCAGCGTTCATGCGCACACTGGTTCGGGAATTACTCCGTAGGGTCAAGCCTGGGTCGTTGGTTTTTATCCATGACGGCCTGTTGATTTCGCCGGAGCCTTCGACTGTTGACCTTGAGGCTTGCTTGACTGAGGCTTCCCTTGGTCTTCACCTCGTGCCCCCCCCACACTTTCAAGTTAAAATTGAGAAGCTCCAGCATGCTCCGCACCCACCACCAGGACCCCTCCCTAGGCGAGCTGAGGTCCAGGCCTTGGTTACCACTGAATCCCGCCCCACTAAGGCCCGTAAACTTGCCCCCGCTGCACCGACGGGTGAAACCTTGCATAACTTTTGGTCCCGCCGCTCTGGCTCAACAGTGCGTATGTGATAGGTATCAGCCGCTTGGTAGCCCATTGAGGTACTGCCTGCACCTCGGGGCTTGTGCCGCCCAGTGTGTGACCGATAGCAATTGCTCACAGTGACTGGCACTGCCGTCCTGGGATCAATTTGCTAGAGGTCTGCACTTGCCTTGCCCGCAAATACTGCCATGGCTGACAAACAGCCTCTCACAATTGCTGAATACAACGCATTGTCCATCAGCAACGCACTCAACTTTGGGTACTATTTTGTGCAAGGTGCCATAGATATTACCCAGGTACTCTACGATGGTCAAGCCACGGATCGGTACGTGAATGCTCTCCGGCAGTGGGACTTGCCCGTCGGAAGCTGGAAGGTCTTTCTTGCGCATCACCCTTATGTCAAATTTGGGTCCCGTAGGAGCCTTAAGATGGAGCACCCGGTTGGCGGTTCGGTAGCCCGCGGCCTCGCAGTCTTGGCTTTCAGGAGATTGATACGATGCAAAGCAACGTGGTGTGGTACGAAGCCGAGCGAGTGGTATGTCTATACCATCAGGCATCCCTAGGGGCAAACTTCATGGACGCCTACATGAGAGCTACTGCTTTTCGGCAAATCAGGCAGGACAGGTTGCGGCAACAGACTTGCTTTCCTATTGCAGGCTTGGCTTCCTTGGTAGTAACAGATGCTAACCGTAAATCCCTGGCCAGCGCACTAGAAGCCCCTGGATCTGATGCTGCTCTGGCTCAGGAAGGTGCTGCATTGCCTCCGCAGTGCGCGCTCGCACCAGATGAGATTACTCAACTCATTGAAGCCGGCCACCTGCCACCACAGGCTGCGGTTGGAGGGAGCTACGGTGCTGGCACTGCCAGCCCGGCGGCCCCCGCACAGTGACCCCGCTGCCTGGGGCTGACTTGCTCGAACGTAGAGTCGCGGCTCCAACACCCCCTGCCCCTAACTTTAGTGTGCCTGCTGCTGCCCCTAGCTCCAGTGTGTTGGCGGCGGCCTCGTCTGCTCCGCACCCAGACCCGTTTCGTCCTGTGCCCTCTCCTTCCGTCTCGGTGTGGAGGGGGCTTGGCCAAATGAGGACCTTTTCCACTATATGGACCAGGTACTGCCCGCCCAGGTCACCCCGTGGACTGAGGTGATTGTAGTTGTGGGACACAACTTTCAACACCAAGCCGCTATCTCGCGTTGGGTATACCTGCTCCGACGGCTCGCCGCCGCCCTTGGTCCTTTTTGTGCCAGTGTGTGCTGTGTATGAAGGGGTCTATCCCTGTGCCTCGCAGGTCTTGCCACAGGTCATGGAATGTGCCCGATGCTTTTTACCCAGCTCGCATATTCTTGCGGTCACTGAGCGTGTCATGCCTGGCCTCTTCCCAAATTTGGCAGATCTCTGGCAGATCACCCGGGTGCTGCAGATGTGTTCCCGGGTATGATCCTGTTTACAGGCCAGGACCCTGACCCCTTTTGGGCTGAGGCGATTGTCAGTGTCGGGGACCCTGGGGACAATGCTGTGTGGAGAGCCAGCTCCTCGCTTCCTCTTCGGCGCAAAAGTGATGGAAGGAGTAACTTGCTTGCGCCTTCTGAGGTTGCTGAGTCAGATACCCCGCAGGATTCTCGTGCCTTGATGACCAGTTTGCACACGCCATTTGCCGGATGCCGTCCGGAAAGTTCCCTGGAGGTGGCATGCCTCGCCAGTTTGCTTGCTACGGCCGCCATCGCATCCTGCTTTGAGGTGCGAGTGCCGTCCCAGTCGCTCTCATATGTTGGGACTGGTGCGGGACACGCAGGCCACCCGGAGGTTGTCTTGCAACTCCTGGAAGTGTTGGCGCCGCTCCGGGTGCTCTCCTTCCCAGGCTGGGGGACCACCGTCTGTGATGTAGCTACCCTTGAGCGCACCATCTCCTTTTGGAATAAGGGGATGCCGCCGCTCTTCGTTCAGGCGCTGCACACGGGATGCGCCGGACCTCGGAGCCTGGTACCCACTCATTGTTGGGCTGGCGCTCTGTTCGCCGGTCACTGAGAGGGTCCCCTTTTGGTATCTGCGGCGGCGCTTGCAGACGGGCCCGCACTCCGGTTTTAGGGTCCCGTTGGGTGGCGGCCTGCGCTTTCCGGTGCCAGATGGCCTTAAAGCATGCGAGCCCATCCTCTCACCCACGTGGGGATTGTCGCCTGTGGTAGCTGGTGGGTCCTCTCAGGAACCCCAGCCAAGTGTAGGGTCTGCCTTGCAGACTATCGAAGCGCATGCATCGGACCTCCAGGATGCCTTGCTGCAGGTTTCTATGCCTGCAATTGCAGGCCGTGGTTTGGGACGCCCGAAAGCCACTCCGGCCACGCGCCTCACGGTTGACTTTGGGGCGGTAGGGCAGGCATCGGCCTCTGCCGAGGCTGACATCACCTTCTTGTGCAGTGGTCCCGGAGGCAGTGTGTATGGGCCCACTTCCCAGCCCGTGGACTGGCGTACCGAGCCAGGGTTTCTGTGTGTCCCTTTGCCTGCCTGCGTGCTACCAAGGTCTTGCTCACGCTTGCCATGTGTCGCAACGCTTGGCCCCACATCTTTCGCGGCCATCGTCAGTGGAATGTCACTGACGCACGTGCGTCCCATCGATATGGGGATTTCGCGCGATACGCCCAGTACTTTGCGTGCAGCATGTTTCAGCCGTCCACTTCCTTCCTCGTGGGCTGCGCCATGGTGGCTTGCCTTATTTCCGAACGTGGTGCCTTGCTTCGTGGCTTCTCGGCTGGGTCCTACTCGTGTACTGTTGCTGCCGTTGTGTGGCGCCATTTGCTAGGTCCGGATTCCCGCCTCCACGTGCGCATTGGTGGTGTTTCTATGCCGCCTCCCTGCTTGCGAGTCGGCCGGTGACTATGCGCTTGGGAGTGTCAAGATTGTCCAGGTGACCACAGACACGTCGTGTCCGTGGAGTAGCGTAGGGGAAAGTGGTGTCCGTGCGGCCCTCAGTGCCGAAGGCATCGGTGTCCTTGCTGTGCATGATGACCGTCGCATCTTCGGCGTAAATGGCCACAACTATAGCCACCTTGTTAAGATACTAGATGGCGCTGGACCATCGCTGCATTCCGCCTTCGCTAAATCGGATGACCTTTATTTAGCTCAACAGGAAAACCGCAAAACCCAACAAGTCCCCGACAAGAACAACAGGGGGGAAAAGAGGACAAATGTGGAGTTCACTCGCTCAAACACTTTTTCAGCAGTGGGGAGATTGTCCAAGCTGCCGTGACCTCAACGGCAGGGTTAGGCACTCACAGCTGGTCTGGAAACTGGTATAGGCATTCCAGCAAAATGAGCAATATTGCGAAGCCCGTAAACATGCCAGCTGCATAAATTGCGCACCCTCCGTGGCGCACAGGATGTCGATCCCACGACTCATTGCAGAATCGCCAAGCTTCAATGCTTGACTCTGCCGTGGCGGTACCCTAGGGTATCTCACGACATGGGCGCGGAAGCGCATATGCAAATCTGGGCGGGCAAACGCAAAGCGTAGGGCGGGTGAAAATTAGCAGAGCATGCGTTGATGCAAAGGGGGTCCCACCCACCCACACCTTGAAAGAAAAAATGCGGTCAAGCAACTCTCAAAAATGTCAACTGCACAGCCATGACATAATGAGTCCAGCTGTGTCCGCAAACATAAACAGCAGTTCAATCGGCCTCAAGTTGGGTTGTTTTGCTAAGTTTCCTCACAGGAAACTTTTTTCCTTTTTGTGCCAAATAAAGTTATCATCTTTGTGCCAAAGAGTCACAACTTATTTAGCTCAACAGGAAAACCGCAAAACCCAACAAGTCCCCGACAAGAACAACAGGGGGGAAAAGAGGACAAATGTGGAGTTCACTCGCTCAAACACTTTTTCAGCAGTGGGGAGATTGTCCAAGCTGCCGTGACCTCCCCTATTGGAAAATCCAGCCCGGACGATCCTACCCACCTCCTGCCAATTCACCATCTGCTTAGCCACGCCGCGATCTTTCATTAAAGAATCTTCGCAGCGACTCGGGGCATCAGCGATGTTAGATGATGAAGGCACTCTGCCAAACCAAGATTTGATTTGGTGGTCTAACTCAAGGCGAGTGAAATCCAACATCAAGCCATCAGCAACTGGGGTTGCTCCATAGGCCTTGATGCAGGCTGATCTAGCGGCCTCATTGTCCAAGTACCAACACACTTGCGAGAAAGCCACATGCGAAGACCACATATGTAGCGAGATGTAGACCGGCATAACTTCCAATTCATAAATTGGACTCTTGGATCCCATACGTAGAAGCCGCATCAAATCCTCCGGCACCTCTCCACCAAAGAAACTGGTGATAGCGCCATCCGGATTGATAAGCACTCCACCCACACTACCAGTCTTGAGGTCCTCCGGCCCTTCGCAAGCGCCATCTGTAAATATTACCCAGGCACGCAAGCATGACGGTAAAATCTTCAAAGGCGGCGCAATGACAACTCTCTCCTTGAGAAATCTCAAGGCTCTCAAGTCTGAGTCTGAAAGTCTGACCTCTCGGCCTTGCCTGCCCGCGATGTCACCAAGAATCCTCACTGCTCCATTCGCGACCCTCCCAAAGGCAAAAGACTCAAACCAATGCATTCGGCCACGAAGCGAAAGGGCGTGCTTTGTTGAGACAAAGCCAGCAGTTAGGATCTCTCCCAACACTTTGCCAAGCTCCTCACACCTCTCGTTGGTATGGCCGATGGTGACCACTCCATCCTTAAAGCCATCCAAACAGATCTCAACTCCCAGACTCCTGAAGGATCTTGAAAAACACTCCGCCTTGCTCCCATCCCGCGCGAAGTCAATACCAAGGAGGTCGAACAAGTGTTCAACGGTCTTGGAAGTGTTTGAAACAAGTTCATCACGGCACAAGACAGTGTAGTCATCAAAATAGGCTGTCCAGGGCAAACGGAAAAGCACTAACCCCAGGTACCAAACTGCAACGCTAACGCGCAGGAAGCCCCCCACGGATCCAGTGGCACCAAAAGGGAGGCTGTTCAACCCAAAAAGAGAGACACAATGCTCAGCAGGATTTCTCACCGCCAGACGGATGACCGACCTGTCCTCCATGCACACTCCAAATTGTTTGTAAGCTGCCTTCATATCATAGGTTCTCCCTTGCAGTCCAACCTTGTTTCCCAACTCAGAATTGAGGTCGAGGGAACAAGCCAAATAAGCAGCAAACTCGTCAATCGCATGAACCCGATATTTTTCCCGGGTGCCCAGAGTTCCGTTGACCCCTCCGATCGAGCAATCATCAATAACCCTCAGCTTGCCTGCTCTCTGTAGGAGTCCAAACCTCTTGGCAAGGAAGACATCGTCCGGCTTCGAATCGTGATCCTGCCAGATGTAGCCCAAAGACACTTCTTCCAGCGTTTTCGCCCAAGTGCCAACGACCAGTTCATCTTGATCATCTTCCCGCCGCAATTGCCCCAAGACCGTCCTGTTTAACCCAGAGGACAACTTCTTGAGCGTCTCAACGTCAAACTGAGGGCGCTTGACACACGAAGGGAAAACTCCGGTCTGCGGCTGCCAACCAGTCAGCTTGAAGCCCGCCGCAATATCTGCCACAAGCTCACTGTCGGGGTATTGCACTGCTTGCAACATTTCCTGGAAAAGTAGCAACCTCTTCTTGGACATTAAAACCCGCAGATGCTCCTGCATGCCCTGCTTGAAGACCAACTCCTCCTCTTTCAGAGCAGCTGCACGCATAGTCCATTTAGCCAGCTCTTTGCATCTCTTCAGTGCCAAATCCGCCGGGCTCAGGCTGAGGTTCTCACGCAAAACTTCACGAACCTGCTCGGATAAATGCACTGCCATTCCACGGGGATGACCACAGGCCACCGCTCTCTCAAGGAAATCCAGTGGCTCTCTGGGTATTCCAAATTGAGAAACCAAGACTGTATCATCATCACCCGCATTGTGCAAAGACTGATGCACGATGTTTCCTTCAGTCTCTGCATCAACCCGAACATCACCCCACTTGGCAAGACGTTGATGCACCAACTTTGCATTAGAGGGGAGCTGCGCACCAGGCGCAGCAACTGCTGTCGAATGCATGATTGACACGTACGCTCCATATTCCGACACAAGCGGCTTGAACTTCTTGCCCCTTGGCAACGCAGATAATACCAAACGGTGCAAACTGCAATTGTCCTGAAGAAGCTGCTGTTGGAGGTCCTGAGGATCCACAGCGCCTAGTGCAAGCAATTGGTTACGGCAAAGCTCTGCCAGCCTAGAGCAAAGCAGATCTGGGTAGGCTGCTTCTTCAGCTGTAGGATATTGCAACTTACCGTCGGTGATCTGCGGCTTCCAAGGCTTGTGAAAATGAATCTGATCCCCGGGGCAACTGGCTTGCAAAGCTTGAAACCAAGGCTCAGATGTCCAGAATTTGGAGTTCTTCTTGCGCTGCCCTCCATGGCAGCAATTGTCAAATATACATTCGTAACCTCCCAGACCGGAAAGCAACTGCTGAATGCAAGGAACTTCCCAGAAAAGGCTGTTTGTTGGGTTCTCAACGGTGCAGCAAACATTCCAGGTCACCAACTCCTGCACCAGCTGGGCGCAGGCATCATATACCAAATTTGCTGTCTCAGTGCGGAGCTTGTCAACGCCACTCAAGCCCGGCAAACCCAACGGAAACTCCTTGCTTCGCAGAGGCTTCGGGACCCTGTAGCCAGCTTGCTCAAGCTTGGTCTGGGGTCGTTCGCGTGCTTTTGAAGCTGTTCCACAAGCAGGTGCAAAATGCACCCATGCCAGTTTTTGCTTCTCCGCCATCAAAAAGGATCGCAGCGAGTTAAAGTCGTTTGCGTCTGTGACGTCGCAGGTGAAAATATGAGGCCCCTGCGTTCTCTCATTTGTCTTATCAACGGCAACTGCACGCAACCCTGCACCCTTGCAGGCTCGAGTCAGCTTAGCAGACCCAGCGAAAATCTCCACGACCAGAAGATCATCCAGTGCTTTGCCAGCAAAACGGCTTGCGCAATCCACACAAGAAGGATCTGGGGGCGCATAGGAGGCGACATCCTCCACATAGTCAAGGCGTCTCCTGGCCTTCTCCTCTTTTGAGGACTGTTTCCCAGGAGCTTGCTGCAAATGATCATGACGTTCGGGCCCATCTGTACGTTTCGTACCTGAGCTGCCAGACGTTGCAAGCTGCTGTGCGCCCACGTTGTGTGGTTTAACCCAGTCTGTAGGCGGCTTATCTGCAAGTGAAACTGCATTGCTTACACTCACCTGGCTTCAGGATTTGGCCCTGCAGGCCAATAAGCTGTGGTTTGCCCTGTGGCACTTCATGCACACATGCATCCCTTTCTTGCACCGACCGTTTGTGACAACCTCATGGCAGCCCTGTTTCATGTTGAAACACCAGCAGATAGGTCGATCCGCATCGTCACGCTGCTTGTAATCCTTCAGCTCTGCCGGGCATGATTTGGCCCTGGCTGAAGGCTTTGCTTTCTTGGCCTTCTTGGTTGGGGCCGGGCGCGATGTCGAACCCCCCTCCAGGCTGGTCTTGAGCGAGGCTGCCCCTGTGGATGCTCGGAACGGTAAAGGCAGCAAGTGCATGGTAATCCTAGGATCAGTCACAAGCGCTGTCATGGAAACGTTCATCGGTGACGGAGTGTCACTTAGTCGCACATTCTTGTGCTGCAGCTCCTCCGACATTACGGTGAATAGCTCCCGGTCTGCATTCAGAAGCTGGTCCATGCGAATGCGATTGTAACCGTCGGGAGAAGGCTTAACAAGCAACCCCATAAGGTACTGCACCCAGTGCTGATGAACAGACCACTCGACCAAGCCGCACTGATCTAATGCAATGCCCCTCCGCTGAAGAGACCACTGCATCTGAATCTCCGTCGCGTTATCCACCTTGACCTGCAGTTCCGGCGCCGTCACCTTCAGGAGTTGCTGTTCAATTGACAAAATCTGCGGCTTCTCCTTGGCGGTCAACTGCAACTCCGCTTCCCTCTTGGAACATTTAGAAGGAGCGATCCAGATCACTGCATTGTTATCAAGCATGGATGCTGCCAAGTCAATCAACGCATGGCTGGGTTGCAACTCACCAGTGATGGACAGCCCCTGAAGCTTGGCTTGCTGCTGCACCAGTCGAGCCTGCTTCTCCGCCTGTGGCATCTTCTTGACACCATCTGTAACGCCGTCCCCTGAAACCTGCTGTCTGGTGTGAGCCACAATCATGGTGCTGGCCTCAAAATGAAGCCTGCGCACTTTCGACAGCTCTGAAATGGTCATCTCAACGCCGTGATTGATGGTAGTGCAAAACGTTTCGAATTCCGGAGCACTGGCAGGCACCTGCGGTGTGCCTACAGCGAAACCCAGATCTGAAAACGTATTCAGCTGATTGTCAACCATGAGCTGACTCAACCATCCAGTAACATCGATCTTGTCACAGTGAACCTTGAAGGCAGCCTGAGAATCCACCAAAGCCATGGCTGGCCTTCGGTCAAGACTCTCCTACTTACCCAAGGTGAACACTCGTGAACCAGAGGCCATGACTTATTTGAAGGTCATGCCTGCATCATGCGCATCAATGTCCACAAGCAAGATCCATGAACATCATTCTTGCTTGTCAGCATTGCGACCTAGTGCCCTACCTCAGAGAGGTTCCACACGCTGCGCTATGCCGCCGGACATTGATCAACGCGGATACCCAAGCCATGAGAGCACTGGCTCTGAGCACCGAAAGAACAGCTGTGTCCTACCTCAAAGAGGTTCCACACCCTGCACTTTCCCTTAAAAACAAGAGGTGTCAAATAGGATTCACCCTGAGGGAAACAAACTCTCGCATCTTGGCAAAACCCCAAATGACACCTCGAGAGAAAATCTCGGCTATGCAGCAACCTAATGTCTGCCTCATAAGGCTCCACACTCATGCTGCACTGACATGGCTCTTTTTCCACAAATCGCATCGAAGCTTGGGTCATGCACTCATCTTCGCTTGATTAGCGAAACACTGTTTGCACTTGATGAAGTCAAATCTGGGGTCCACACTGTCCAGCCTATAGCGATCCGTGATCTTGCGCCCACAGTGCAGAATGCGCTTGTAGCCCTTCGGTGCCAAATGCACAGTCCTGAGTTTGAGGTGCCTCCACACATCCGTACCTTCAGGAATGGGCGTCCTGCGATAAGGCACCTTCGGGAGAACCACATTGTTTTCATCACTGCTCTCACTGCCACTGCTGCTAGTTGTGACATGGTCTGATGCTGAGTCCACTGCCACCTGATCTTCTGCAACTTCCAAAGCATCGGCCTGACCCTCAGTCGCAGCATCAGAACCAACATCTATGGTTTCCACCTTCTACTCCACGACTTCAGGACTCTCCGGCTCCCTCAAGGGAACAGAAACAAACCGTCCGCTCCTGGTCTCATCCGGCCTGAAACTTCCCTCCCGGATATTTCGCAAACAGTCTTCCAGAACCCTAAGGGGACGAGAAGCTCCATCGCGACTGTACCGCAACGCCATGGAAATGTGGTTAACGTGATAGCCAAGTGCTAATCTGTCGTTAAAGTCACAACCCATCTTTGCCAAATATGAGAGGCAGGTGGCCTTGAAAGAGTGACTTGTGTAAGCCAGCGGCTCAGGTCCACCTTGCTCATCCCGATATTGCTCCAGCAGCATAATCAGCCACCTGGCGGCTTCTGCAGTGGACAACGGCCTGGCAGTTGGCTTCAAATCCTCACCAGGCGCTGGCATTCAAGTCCTCAACTCCCAACTCGCCTCTTGCCCACTTCCAACGCTGAGCCCAGTTGCCACGAGAAACACCATGCGCTGGTGCAGTCAAAGGCAGAAACATGTGCCGCATACTGAGGGCCCTGCACGTCTTATGCACAGCTGTGGAGCATTCCACAAATTGAATCTCGCCCTCAGTGTCCTCATCCCATAGAACCGACTGCGAGTGTTGGGCGTCGCTCCAACGCGCCCTTCCATATACACAGAATAATACCATTCCGCAAAAGCAAACATTCCAGGCATCGTCACTGTAATCCAAAATAGAATGAAGCGCCAATAAGTGGGACACACGCAAAGGAGGGGCCTGATGCACAATAGTAGGCTGCTTGGCAGTAGCCACGCCCATGCATCGCCTGCTCTTCGTCGCACCCTCCAAGGACGCAATATTGAAAACATGACGCACGAACGTCACTGCCTCCATGAGTGATTTCAACCTGGACAGCTTAACATGCGCACTCCTCTCTCTGCACATATGCTTATAAAGATTATTTTTATTCGAAGGAAAATCCAAGCCACGACCCAGTAGATCATTGACCAACCGTGAAATGCTGTTACACCTCTTGAGCAACGTGGATTGTGCAGCACGTCCACAATGATCTGACATTGAGATTGAAACTCACTCCCCGCTTGAACAAGCCCGATCAAGTTGTCGGTACCTTTCCAAGACATGATGCAACTGTGCCACCTTCTGATTGCAGTCTCCCATGTCGCGTCACGCTGCTCCTGCCATGACTGAACAGTGGAACTGGAGACCACCTCAAGGAACGAAGTAGCCCTCGCCCGCTTCCTTGCCAAAACGACCTTCGACTGAGAAACTGCATCTGCTGAAGACACCACCGGGTCAGGCACAAAAGCAGGACGTGTTAATGAACTGAGCAAAGGAGTCTCGCCCTGACCATCGTCAAAGATCTGTTCCCAGAAGCCCGTCTCCCAAAACTGTCGCAACGGCTGTTGACTCAGTTGCATCCATGACCTGTTGACAGCATGCAAACGTTCATAGTTCTGCAGAAGCCTCAAGTCATGAGAATGATCATCCTGTCTGTTAGCTGCATCAAACTGCGGAAAACCTGTATTGAGTCCATCTGACACTTCCACAGGCAACGATTCCACATTTGAGTCCAGCACAAGCGCCTCATCACTTGCCGAGGCCATTGCAACCCCCTATGCTGAAAATTAGCAGAGCATGCATTGATGCAAAGGGGGTCCCACCCACCCACACCTTGAAAGAAAAATGCGGTCAAGCAACTCTCAAAAATGTCAACTGCACAGCCATGACATAATGAGTCCAGCTGTGTCCGCAAACATAAACAGCAGTTCAATCGGCCTCAAGTTGGGTTGTTTTGCTAAGTTTCCTCACAGGAAACTTTTTTTCCTTTTTGAGCCAAATAAAGTTATCGTCTTTGTGCCAAAGAGTCACAACTTACTACCAGTGGGCGGGCTTTGACCCCAGGTCCGCGGACTACCTGCAGCACATTGCGCTCGCCCTTGCCTGTCAGGAACCTCAGGAGTTGGTTCGTGTCACTGACCGACCACAAATCCCACGCATGATTTCTGAAGCTGCCTGGCTTGCCGGCGCCGCCGGGGAGTGTAGCCTCCTCATGGAGCTCAAGGCAGATCCTAATGACGCAGCGGACGCATGGGTGTCGCGCTCCCTTCATGGCCTCATGGACCTGCCGGCCTACCGAGCCACTGGTCTTGGGCGGCTGCTGCTAAATATGTCCATGATCGGTTGATGCAACTGCCAGTGGCCCAAGCGCTTGATTTTATGTGGTACCAGGCCCTGGCCAGTGTCTCCGCCTTGCGCACCTTCCGGGACCCCCCGGCCCAGTGGCGCTCCTTCTCTCGGCGTGATGCAGTCCCAGCCTGGAGCCGCTTGTGCAATCGCCTGCATCCTGGGGTGGATATTTATTCGGTCCACTTTACCCAGAAACTGCCGTGGTGCCAGTACTTCAACGGCCATGGCAACCGTACCGACTGCCAGCTCCCTGATGGCACCGAGGTCTCTTTGGCAGTCATGCTGCCGGATTCACTTGGCGGCAGTGTGAAGTACATAAAAGGGTTCGCATTCGAAATCAGGACTTCCTTCCCCCAGGATTTGGCTGCCCCGAAGCATGCTTATGTGCGAAACATGCAAGTGGTGGTCTCTCATGAACAACGTGATTTACCGGGAACCCCTCATTAGCCATGCCGAGCTTGTGGGTGCAGAGGGCTTCACTTTCGTTCCGGAATTCAGCTCCGTCAAACCCCCTACGCATGGCGTTAGCATGTGGCACCATGTGCTTGGTGTGCACTCGGATCGCATTCCCTCTATCCTTGGGGTGGCCTCTGGGGACGCCCCGCGAAGCTACCTGCCTCCTCGCGTCGAATATGGTGGGTTTGCTCGTGACCTGGAACAGGCCTTCAACTTGCTTGCCTGCAGCCTCCGGGCGCCTGATGGCACTGGGTGGTTCAGCTTTGACCACTTGGTACGGTCCGAGCTCACCTCAGCCGCATGGGAGACCTTGGTGATCAATACTGAGCGACTGGCCGGCTCTTGGCAGGGAGAAAATGCGGAGGGCTGGCGTCGCCTTCTGGAGTGTGGCCCCACCTTCCTCTTCAATGTGCTTCGCTTGAGTGTCGGTCCTGATGGGCACTTCATGAGCGTCCTGCTTGGCGTGTTCCATGCCCTTTCTTCCCAGCGCGTCACCTTTGGCATCCAGGGACTCTTTGGCACTGGTAAGACTTACTGCGCCAGTGCTGCCCTCATTCTGCTCACTCGAATGCTGGGCCTCAAAGCCCTGTTTGTGGCAACTTGCCCGAATTCTCGCGAAATGTGCAGTCCCTGCTCGCGGATGCCCCGGCGGAGGTCCTGTGTCAGTTTCCGCGCCTGCTTGGGCGTGACCATGACCAAGCCACTGACCTTGATGTCGCTTATGAGACTCGCTCTCAATTCCTCAAGGACAATGAGCCCTGCTGTGTGGCCATTACTCTCGGCTCCCTTCTCCACGAAATAGGACGCCGTGGCCTCTTTTCTTCAGGCTATCCATGTTATGTTTGTGGATGAGTCCCAGCAGGCGGGTCAGGCCGCCTATGTGGCTGTTCATGGTGCAGTGCACTGCACAGCCCTGACAGTCCACATTGGTGATGATCGGCAAACTCGGGGTGCCTCGGGCAACGACCCCATTCGAGAAGAGGTTCTGCGACGATTAGGCCAAAAGAAGGTTGCCCTTCATGGGCTTTCGGATTGGAGCGTCCCACAGGACTTCCTGGTGCTGGCAGCGGTACAAATCACTGGAGAGCGTTCACAGGAAACGCTCCCTGCCGTCCTAGGCATGGAGTACCTTGCTGCTGCAGGTCGTGGTCTGCCCACTGCAGCAGCCACCGTCCGCAGCGCCAATGGTCTCTCTAGTGAAGGATCTCCCGGGCTCAATCTTGCGCTGCCCAGTAGTATGCGGGTTTCGCCTACTGCCTACTTCATGAGTGTGGCTGTTTGGTACCCCCATCTGGTGCGCATGGATGATGACGGTCGAGTCATTATCGGCAGGCGCATAACTACTGGAGTTTCCGGCCTCCGCTCCGTTGAGTGGCAACCCA